CTCATCCTGGACTGGGACCCTGGCTGTGATCTCCAGAGAGCAGGGGCTCATCCTGGACTGGGACCCTGGCTGTGATCTCTAGGCTGTAGGGACCCATCCTGGACTGGGACCCTGGCTGTGATCTCTAGGCTGTATGGACTGGGTCCCTGGCAGTGGGAGTAGCTGCACTCTGTGTCAGTGAAGACTCACAATGTAGCCTTTGTAACTCTCTTGATTGGCAACACTTCCACAAGCTCTAACAAAATGCAGACAGAAACTAATACACTCATTCAAGCGTCATTAACCCAAAACAAAAAGAAAGGGATGACGCAGAGCAGGGGATTACAGCCTTGGACAGGACAGTTATATATAAACATTCATGGGTGTATGAATAGAACGTACAGTTAAACAAAACATATCGTAATGGTTCCAAACAGTAATCACCACCCAACACTGCAGGTTTGGACTAGATTTCTGCTGCTGGGATGATCTCCTTTTTTCAATAAGCATTGTGTCCCTTCGTCCTTTCCTTCTAATGAACGGTGCCACCAGGCTGCTGCCTAACCCACAGAGCGGGAGGAAGGGTTTTAGTGTGACACCAAGACTGGCACTCAGCAGAGGAAGCCAGGTGAGGAAAGAAGGGACAGACGGAGAACAGGGGGAAAGTGACTGGGGAAAAGGGGGAAGGCCAGAGAGAGAAAGAGGGAAAGAAGGAAGAAGGGGAGAGGGAATGTTTTAACGGCTCAGAGGGAGGACAGGACCAAACACATCCTAGCAAGTGACCTCACTCTCCTAACCCTTCTTTATACACACTAAAAAAAACACACATTAACAGACGCTGCTGACACACACTGACTGCCTGACACAGAAACACAGAAATATTCTCACACAAGCAGATAAGCACCAGCTCCCCCGGACACGGTCTCACGGCCCTCCAAACGCACACAACCATGCACCACACACTGCTCCTCTTCCCCGCTCCTTCCTAGTGTGTGTATTTCCAGCTCCGCTGGGAGGTCAGAGGGTATTTATAGAGAGAAAACAGATTGTAATTGCAGTGCTGTGGGACTCCAAGCGCCTGATATAGCCTGTTATTACAGGGTGTGGGATAAACTCAGACTCGCAGCAAACACACAGCCACTCTGACGGCGGAGACACAGAGAGGAGAACAGCCACCACAAGGAAGAGTCTTCACGCCAGAACGAGAAGGAGAGAAAACAAACATAAAAGAGAGAGAGAGAGAGACTTTTGGCCTTTATAGCCTGCTGATCTTTTCTTACACTCTATAAAAACCAGTAGGAAACGGTCTCTTTGGCTTTTTGTTAGGCCATAAAAACTAATCTACCCCCATTAAATCTGGCATGCTGCAAGGAATGCTGAATCTCATGTTCTGTGGAGTTGAGAATGAAAGTGTGGGGGAGACGGCAACAACCAAGTTCAATCAGACTCGGCCGTCATTAATTAGCACTCACTCCTGATGTCACTTCCTCTTCTAAGACGCTATAAATACTGTAGATGATCTCCGTCTCTCCTCCACCCCATCTCCACCTCTGCAGCTGCCCCCTGGTCACTTCTCACTCTGCAGGGGGGTCCTGCCTCCCCATCCTGTGGCCGAGAGGCCGGCCCTCAGCCAAGAGGGTTAAGCCAAAGTCTCACTAACCACTCCATAATCCTTCCAGTACGCTTCATTCCTGGGGGCTGTTATTCCTAGCGAAATACGCACTTGTAAAGACAGAGGAGATCCTGGGCATGTGTTTATACCGGAACAAAAAATTCCGAGGGGGTGGACAGGAGGCAGTAATCCGGATGGTGTGAGTAGAGCAAACACACGTGCAGGCAACAATGAGCAGGAACGCGTCCTCTTGTCCTGTGGAGCGAGCCTGGCTCAGAGGATTAGCTGCCAACACGGTCGGATGCAAAGCAGAGGGGATCAAAAACCCTCTGCACGGAATTTTCTCCGCAGCTCAGGCGAGCCGTGACTGTAGTGCAAAGTAAAACAGTCGGCCCCGATATAAAGCACAGCTGGCGGGGGGGGATGGGGGGGGTGGAGTGTGCATCCCGAAAACCCATCCCGGTCTTGGATGGTCGGCTGCGTCAGCATCTTCTCCGGGGTACTGAAATGCAACAGTGCCTGGCGAGCTGGGAGAGACTCTTAAACGAGCCCGACTGCAGCCTGTAAGGAGCTGATCTAGGTCATGCTGTGGGGCATGAGAACCTGCAGACACACAGGCCCTACGAGCCGCTCCGTGGCGCCACTCTCTGGGTCCAACGTGCACGGAGCTCCGTCCCAGCAGCGCAAGACCGTTTTCACGCCTTGCCCACCAGCGCATGCAAGATCTGAAGAGTTCAGAATAGTTCAGGTGGCCACCTGTGGAGCAGTAGTTGGCATGGGTCTCCTTGATGGCCAGTGGGAAAACGATCTGACTCACTTTACCCATGAGTCATAATCTAGGTTAAAAGTGGGCATTTTATTGGGAACCCCAGGCATCTTGAGCAGCAAGAGCCACAGCTTGAGCCCTATGCCCCTGGGTCCCGAGACTAGCCGATTGGGCCCCTAGCTCCCTAGGCAGCAGCCCTCTCCTGAGTTCCAGCAAAAGGGTGCCCATCCTGGGTGCCTCCAGGCTCAGGGTGATATCGGAGAGAGACACACCTCTCCCCCAATCTGTGCTGAACCCTCTGCTGTAGGCCACTGTGGAATAAGGGGAAGCAGGGAGAGGGAAGCCCCCTCCTGCACCCCAACTCGAGTGGGTTCAGGGGCAGTCACTACGAGCCGAGACTGACGGGCACAAGCAGGTGACCAGGATAATTACCAGCCTGTACAGCTGACATTCATCAAGTGTATGAATATAAAGAGCTCAATTTAAGACATACAGCTAACACAGTGTTCCCGTGCTGCCAAATACCAACATAGGTACAGAGTGGCACAGCTAGAGAGGGTGCCCGCAGTAGCACAGATCAGCTGTCC